CTATTGCTCCCTTCTAGAGTGCCCACATCCCCCCACATCTTACATAAGTTACATAAAACTTATGCAAGGCTTTCTCTTATCTTTTTTGTTTATTACATTCTATTTGAAATTGGACTAAGTTGTGTGTGCTCTCACTGTATTTTACTGGGCTGCATCTCAGCTTCGGTGAAGATTAATGGTTGTTCTTTGTTGTGTGCTTGGAGTTGCAAATTGCCGTGTTCAATACATTCTCACCTCAGAGAAAGGACTATTCTTGTTCAAGCTTTTATGAATTCAATGCCACTATCTTTTTCGCTTCCCAACCCCTTCCCACCCACAAAACCATCTCAGAAATTAGTTTTAACAAAAAATATTTGGGAATGTCCTTACAGTCATAAGTAATAAAAATTCTAACAAGAATATTAACTTTAAAAAGAAGTTATGAAATTGTGTTATGTTGTTATGGCTATAGCACTGCCATTACAATTTTTCTCCAAAAAAGCCCTAACTATATTAGAGATACCTTGTACAAACCCAAATATTTAAATCCCACAGATTTAGACTAGAAGCTTAACATTTAAATATGCAAAACAGGAACATTTTTGGTTGTCATCTACCTTTAGTTATATATCCAGTCGAATCTTTGCAGCACCTAAAATCTGCAGAATCCCACTGTACCAGGGTGGAAAATCTAAAGGAAACTTCCTTTACAATACTTGGGAGTTGAGGGAATATTTTTCAAGAACAGTAAGGATTTTTTTATTGTTGAAAGCTTTGTAATAAGTTATTTGCATAACTACTGTCAAACCTGAGAAGCCCCTGGTCTATGCACAGATTTTTAAAAATGTTTAAGATTTCCCCCCCACTTTGCATCCCATCAACAATCAGTGTCTGAAACTCTGAATTAAGGAATCGCCTGTCAATATGACAACTTTCTGACATTGTGATACCAAATGTGATATGTAAAACAAATTCAGATTGACTTGGATACCATGTCAAGTGGGGAGATTTCTTTCGGTGCATTTTTTACTAATGCGCTGCTTCTTCTTGTCTCTGGTTTTGTCAGAAGTTCATCCTTCTTGGCATTTGCCAGAGCCAATATTATGAACAAAGTGTGATGCGGGTGATCCAGTGAAATGCTAGATATTAGCTGTCAGAAAATACAACAAGATTTAAAAATTAAAAATTCAAATTAAAATCAGAGCTATAAATTTTAAGCTTAAGTGTCAAAAACTCACTAAACTTTTTCATATTCTAATCAGAGGACTTGTGATATATATATTATCTACTTTGGCTAGTCTGTTAAGATGTGAATCTACTCTGCTTTCCAATATTCTAATTAGCTAACATAGAAGGATTTATTTTTTGCCTTTTATTGTCTTGTGCATATAAAAATAAAGCAGGTCAGCTAAGTCTGTATTTTTTCAATTCCTACATTATATTCAAGAGTATTTTAATACAACAGCCTGACTATTCTGAGGAGTTCTACATTTATTAAAAACAATGAAAAAAACAGCAACACAAGAAAGAATTTTACATAGAACTGTAAATAAAAGGATTAGATTACAAGAACTGTAATAAAAGGATATATGCAACATAAATCAGTCAAGATAAAATATTGCATGGCAAGATACAGCTCTTTGTACTCAACCTAATCAAGCTACTTATGGTTGGGTGTTAATTACATTATTCAGAACTTCATGGAATCCTAGACCACCCATCTTCTTAGTTCCCATTCGAGCAGCCAGTTGGTACATCAGAGGAAGAAACTTGTATGAAGGGATCTTTTTTGCATTCTTCTGTTGTAAAGAACGAGTAAATATTAAAGAGATAAGAAACATAAACCATCAAATGTAACCTGATGGACTTGTATTGGTGTTCTAAAGCAAATTATACAAAAAAATCTTTGCTGGTGAGGCAAGTGGCCAGTTCATTTCTCTTGTCATTGTTTCAGCTCTGTGAGAGGTGTCATTTTATACCAGGATGATTTAGATGCGTCAGTTAGGAAGCACGAATGAACTAGATGCTACATAAACTGATGGTAACAGAACAGTCCTGATCTAGAAGGCTTGAACAATCTGATTTAAGACAAGAAAAAAAGAACATTTATTTTTTAAAAAGTATTTGAAAGAAACACATTTTAAATATAGCTCAATAAAGACAAGAAAAGTGCTATTTATAAAAAAAAGTATTTGCAAGAGAAATGTATCATATATTTTTAATTAGTATTAAGACAGAAATAAAAGCATAATGGACATATGCCCACTCATTACTAGTCTGCAATTTCTTTCGAAGTGGGAAAAGATGGCACCAGCACCATTTTTTTAATTGCAGAGCTGCTTATGATGCTTTACAAAAATACTTAGAACACAGAAATTTCTGCCTCAAAGAACTTACAATATAAATTAGCTATAACATAGCAGAGGGTGACAAAGGGGTCTGATCTAGGCATGGGAAGGACAAGGATTACATCACAGAAAAGCCTTGAGTTTATTAAACTGAGAAGGTAATTTTTTGTTAGGGCAATTTTAATTAATTTGTTATATTAAACTGGCAGGAAATAAAATGCCAGTTAACTGCTATTTAACTGAAATACATGAATTCTGAGGAAAAACAGAGAGGAAAATGAGGCTGCATGGTGCACAGTTATACTCTATTTACCAGGTATATAGGCGTGTTGGGAAGGTGAGTAGCTAAGCAGATGAAGGAAATGTCAAAGTGAGCTCTATTATTAGGTAGAATATACAATGTAAGTTTTAAAGGTACAAATATAAGAAATGTGAATGAGTTGCAGGCATAGTGGCACAGCTGTGCAGGTCCTGGCAAGTGAGGATAAGGGTTCTAAATTTGGTTTTGACACAGAAACGCTTTGTAAGCAAAAAGTGAGATCAGAGCTAGGGATGTAAATATTGTTTTTAAAAGAATTACCATTTAACCTCCCCTAATTATACTGGTTAAACAGTTAACTGATAACACATACCTAGCCCTGGCCAGGGGCTGTGGAGCCTGCCCTGCCTTAGGGGAGGGGAAGTACAGGGAGCTGGGGGAAGTGCACAGACCTGCTTAGACACAGCTGCTGCTGGGAACTGCTCCCCAGGGTCTTTGATGGGGTAGCGGGGAGTGGGGAGGAGGCAGCAGCAGCAAGCCCCACCAGGCAACATGACCCACGTGAAGCAGCGGGCAGACAGCAGCAGGAGAGGGGCTTTCCCAGCCTGCCAGCACGGTGGGAGGGAGAGAGCAGATTAACTACAGGTACTAGTCCCACCTTGCCCCTCCCTTCCCATCCTCTCTCCTTTCTCCTTCCCTCCCACTTGCCCTGCTGCCTTCCAGTTCCTACTAGGGCACCACTTGGTTTTCCTTCCCCACCCTGCTTCCCTGCCAGATTGCACCTAGCCCCATGCCAAATAGTAACTGGTAAGATATAACTGGTTACCACTGGCCTTATCAGTTAAATGATTAATTGTTTAACTGTTCACATCCCTAATCAGAACCTAACCTTCATCATCCCATTGACTTCAGGGACTCCAGAGTTCTCAAGCCAGAGCGAGCAGAGGCGGAAGATCCACATGTCATGTTCTTCTCCACTCAGTAAGCAGCTGATGTAGTTCTCTATGGCTTTGCACAAAAAGCGTCTGCAATCCTCTTTCAGTGCATTAATTGCACATTCATCAAGTTCCAGCTCTCGCTGAACCTTCACTGTGTATCTATGGATGGACAGTCTTTTAAAACTATCAGTTATACACCGGAGTGCTCGTTTACCAATTTAAGAACTCTCCCAATATTATCTGACACTCGTGCTGGATATACAAGCAAAGAAAAAGTTGTTTCTTAAACCAAACCCTGCTTTGTCAGGTGTCCCCTTCATTGGTGACCAAGTGGCACCACTGCTCTAAGTTTCAGTCACTGAAAATCAAGTCCCTTTTCCTAATAGCAGGACCTGAATCAAAGTAAAATGCAGATATGGGAAAGGGAGTAAGTACAGAAACTAGATACTTCTACAGAGGAAAAGGAAAGTATGAGAAAGAACTTCAAGATTTTAGACTTTTCCCTCACTTTTTTCCTCTTTAGGCTCAACAAAAGGAAGAGATGTACACTCTGATTCCACTATGCCATGGGTTCAAACTCATCCAACTCCCTTCCTCTTCCTCTTCTCTTCCCTGTTCCTTTCTCTCAGCGTACCTGATCCGGCAGCTGCTCCAGCTTGTCTGGGACTCGCACTGTGTGGCACAGATCCCAGAGCTACCAAAATGGGTGTTGTGTGCATTACAGTCTGGCCAGAGTGACAGCTGTGCTGTACAGTGTGGCTGCACCAGTGTAACTGTGCCACATGCAGTGCCTGCTCCGAGACATGTAACGAACAGTACCTGCTCCAGTAGGTCCGGGACCTACACAGCACATGGTGCTTTCAAGCACTGCACACACCACAGGTGCTGGACTGGCTGAGCAGGTGCCACATGCAGTGCAGTCCCTGAGCTACTGAGGTGGGCATTGCATGGGGAACAATCTGGTCGGGGGTCTACCATGTGCAGCGTGACTGCTGCTCCAGCTGGACCGTGCTACATGCGGTGCCCGTTCTAAGCACTCTGGGATCTGTGCTGCAGGCAGCGCAGGTCCCAGACTGGCTGGAGCAGCCGCTGGATCAGGTATCCTGGGGCAGGGGGGTCCATGGGTCCAATATGGCTTGTGGACCAGCCTGCGTCACAGGCATGTCCACGTGCATCTGATCAGACCCAGGGTCACATGCCTGTGGCAGACCACCATGGGCCAAATCTAGCCTATGGACCATGTTTGACACCCCTGCACTATGCAAAGCAAATCCCAAATCTGTTTACATTTGTTTTCCATGAGAGAACAATCTTTCAGCCCGGGCACTCACCTGTTTGTCTGAACTTTACATTCCCTTATGAGGCCAACCTCCTCCTTGGCCGCCTTCAGCAATGCTTGCTTATTTTCGAACTCTGAGGATTTCATGTAGTTTTCAATTCTTTGGTACTGAGTATCAGAGAAACGAGCCAAAGAGAGGAATGCCTTCATTTTTCCACACTTTAGCTCATCACTGCTGTCTCCACTCTGGCCTGCAGCAACTTCCACTGCCTACAGAGCAGGTTACAAATGCAGTCATGATAAGGCAGATGATCAGGTTGGTGTAGTAGTTCTAGCTATCTTTTACTGCCATACTACTTAATTAAAACAACTCTTTTACTATGTAATACATGTACATGCTGACACAGGTGTGTATAAAAAATAAAAACAACTCTGCTAACCAAGCATTTGTTTTCCTAAGAAAAATTTTTCCTCAAATACTTCAGTTTTCAGCATGAACAGAGGAAGACCTTTTATCTGTAAAGAAGATAAACCACTGTATAGAAGCCCTCTAACAACTATTATTATTGCTCATAGAGAACCACAGTTGCAACACAACATGGTGCTTTACAGTACAATGAAAGATTCTCTCCTTTGACGAGCCTGTAGCCTATAATGATGAGAAAAAGCAAAAGACAGAGACAACATCACAGGTGGAGAAACTGGCTGGAGTTTAAGTGAAAGTTATAGAGGAGAGTGATAAAAGCATGTGGAGGGCACCAAGGAAGTCAGAAGCAATAAGTAGGAAGAGATTCACAATAATTAGCAAGAGATAGACAGAACAAAGGAAAGAATGGACAAACAATACGGAAGGCAATGAAGCAAATCCTCAAGGAAGAGATTTTTTTTTTTTTTTGCAATACGTGAGAGTGAGACACTGGCCTTGCAGCAAAGGGGGAGGCTGAAAGTTCCATCAGTTCAGACTATTATACAGTGGTTTGTTAAAATGATTAATTAAATAATTTTTGTCTCTTAAATGCTGTTCTAGAGTATACTGAAAATTTGTTTTTTCAGTGTGGAAAAACAGTATTTGACTTTGACACTTTTATCAGATCTTTTATACCTCTGTCACCCACCTCACATGGAAACACATGCCTGAGTTGCAATAAAACCTGTCAATCCCAGATTGCCTTTGTCAGCCATCTTTAGATCCACAGGTAAGGCAATCATGGAAGACAATCACCGTAAACTACAAGGGATTGCCAATGATGACCTTTGTCAAATACTGCATTCTCAAAAGACCTAACCTTACCTTTTCTAAGTATTTCTGCATGATAACAGTAGGGTTTTCTAAGCATGTTTCTGCCAACCAGTTACCACATAACCTCACACACTCTGTATACATAAGTCTTAGGCGTGGATCATTCTCAACCTGTTGGGAAACACATTTTTGGAAAATAAAAAGGAGGAGCAAATAAATGAAATCCCAATAAAATATTCCTCTTAAATACTTTTAATTACTTGGCCAAATAGCTCTTACATATTTATTGAGTGCCATCAATATACAATCTCTATCCACAGCAGTCAACATCCTAAATTACATACTGTTACAGTTCTGTGGATGCCACTGTCTAAATGAATTTGCCTTTTCATCAATCTATTTGCACTTATAAAAGGAATAAGCTCACTAGGATCACAAGTGACACACACTTCATTAAGAATGAGTAACAGCAAGGAAAATACTGTCTGATCTGAGAAATTATAAACAGACCAAATGGCAGTAGTGAAGGCAAACTAACCAGTGAAGAAGCTACAACTTTTTTTCTCTTGCAGTTCTTAAATGCCCTAATATTTATCAAAAGGCGTGGCTTACAGTCTCTCACTATTGGGATATCTTTTATTGGACCAACTGTACAGTTAAGGAGAGCTTTCAGTTGACTGTCTACTTACATTTATCTCTATCAATAGCGCTCAACCTCTGGCTTGTGGCATTCCCCACACATACAGAAATGTGGTGCTGGGAGGTGGTGGCAATCAACATTTCCACCACTCCCCCACTACCAAACCTCCAAGCCCATGGCCAGAAGACATGTACTGGAGCTAAAGTACCAAATCAGGCTACCATTCAGGGCCAGAGCAGCAGGCCTAATCCAGTGTGCATGGGGCCAGGCCCAATTTGATGTATGCAGGGCTGGGGCAGCAGGCCCAATGTAGCAAGTGAGGCTGGGCCCATGTTCCAAATAAGATCACACCCATGTGCTGACCCATTGCTGGACTGGGCCCACAGACTGATCCCTTGCACCAGATCCAGCCTGTGAACTGACCCCACACCACTAAATCTGCCCCACAGCCCAGAAAATTTGGGCACCACTGGTTTTCATAGGTATGTGCTTCAGCCCCTTCTAAGAGTTCAACATGGAGTTACTAACACTGCAGATTTCCTTTTTATTCTCACCAAAAGAAAGCCCCAAGAAAGTGGCCAGAGAGTTTAATTTTTGCTAAGTCAACACAAAATATAGCACCCACCTGGAACCAGTCTGTGTCTAATTTTTTGATCATGTCCTTGAGAACACTCAATGCAAGGCTTTCTTCTTTTTTGGCCCAGAAAACCTGAGCTTCCTCCAGTTGCCACTCAGAGACTCCATACCTAGCTGGATTGCACTGTTTGATCCGAAACATTGCTCTTTCAGGAAGCTGAAATTGAAAAAATAAATTTTCAACAATCTTCATAAGGAATAAAAATACACATCTCAGCAGGCTTTCTGACTCCATTAGCAATTTGCTAACTTTCTTTAACATATCCCCCTTTGCTACCTAATTATTGCTAAGACTGTTTTGGTTGAAATTAGGTGAGGTAATTTATTAATCCATCATTATATGCCATCCCATGATTCATATGAGCAACAATTTTCTAAATGTCTCATTGTATGGAACGAAGTAGTAGCATTTAGTATTTAAAATTACTGTGAATTCTGTGGTATAAATATTCCCAAAGTTATATATTGTTACTATGACTATCAAGCTAGCAAAAATATTCAATTAGTTACAATAAACTTTTCAATATTTTAAACCAAAATGACATTAACAGACAAATTGTCTCTATACTCAGAGAATCTATGTGTATTCAGGTTTCTCTACTTATTTTGCTGGTAATGCAACATTTTCATAATTCTTTGATTTTCATTTCAATGCAAGATAGAGTTGGCTTCTTTTTATAAGCAAAAACTTAAAATAGTGATTGAAGATGTAGTTTCAGTGAAAGCTGGATTACAATCAAGAACAATATTACATTTTTTAATGAATATTGCATGCAGATAAAAAAATGTTGTAATTCCTAGAAACAAACGCAAGTGATCCAAGTCTATTCCTGACTAGCATATAATCCTTCAGCCATTGCTTCAATACTGAAATTTATACAGTACCCCAAATCTTAACCCTTCCCTCCAAAATTTGTACAAACATAGGCACAGGCCAAAATAACACATTAGTAAGAAATCAGGTGTTGTCGTCACCAAGTACCTCATATATATTTTTGTTAATACTAAGGGCCAAAGACTATTCTGGAGATGTAGGGTGAGATTGCTGCCCCAGGGAAGTCAAAGGGAGCTTCGTTACTAACTTCAGTGGGCTGGATTTCATCCACTCTTTGTTCAGAAGTTAGATATGTTCTGACACCAACTTCCAGTAAATTTTCACATGCCCTATCTCATCCTAGGATACATATTTTCTGGGAATGGTTTCTTTCCAGGGAAGTTAAAAGGGATATTAAAAGAAAAAAAGAGTCATGACTATCATTTGGTGATTGAAGGGCAAATTACAGCTACCCAATATTTATTACTATGGTTGATGTGCTAACTAGAAACAGTCTAGATTAGCAGCTGACAACCTTTTCAAGCCATGGGCCAGAACAAGTGGCTCCAGTCCCATACAGGTCAGGGGGCTTCAATGGGACATCAGTGACAGGGGGGCTTTGCCTGTACCCATGCTGGGCCCAAGAAATTTAGAACTGCACCTGCAGAACTGCCAGTTCTCTCTGCCCTGATCCCCAGCTACAGCACAAATGCAGCTTCCAGCCAGTGGGGAACTGAGCCAGGACTGGGCAGCTAAGAGTTATGTTTGTGTTGCAGCCACTTTTCCCCACATTACTCCCCTCCCCACCCACTGCAGTATGGGTGCAGCTCCCCACTGGCTGGAACCTGTGCCCATACACTGGTGGGTAGAGGAGGGACAGGGAGAAGCAGCATTAGCACAGGCACAGACAGCTACCAGCTGCTCAGCACTGGTGCTGGTGCTGGTGCAGGCACAGCCAAGGCCCTCTGGCTCTTCCGGCCATAATCAACCCCCAGGCCTTATGCTGCCAATCCCAGCCTAGATAGACTTTTCAGGACTGGCAGCTGGGGGAAATTTTTTTTTAAATTAAAATTTAGCATAACCAATTCCAAAATTGAGATCAAAATAAAAAGGAATCCTGCAAAACCATTCACAGCGAGTCATTTTTCAAAATACAATGGCTCTTTAAGCATATTCACGTTTGAACTTGACACTAAATATTGGGATCTGAAGGAAATATTTTGGCTATCTAAACCGGAATGCTGGCACAACCATCTTATAGCATGCTGATCGTGCTTCACATCTACCCAGTATACCAAACTAGAGTTATGGAGCCAAGAAACATGACTTACACACAGAAGTGAAATTTTATAACACCTGTGGGATCAAAAGCAAGGCAATTGTGAACCAAAGTGTGAAGAAATGTCTGGAGAGCAGCATTCATGAAGGAGTAGTATATAAACTAAAACTTCAGATAAACAATTAATTGAATTAGACTGAACAATAAGAATTTCAACAAAGTTGGTCTTCAGCATTTCTGTGAAATAAAATGTTTAATCAACTGGAGGAGCAACTAAAAGAAATATCCAGAATTTCTTACCTGAGTGTTTTTGGCAGTTCGTGCCAATTTGGACAGCTCCACTAAATGTTTGGTTAGAATATCTTTGATGCATTCTCTTTTGGAATTCTCTGTTTCCTTCTCAAGTAGGACCTCTAGAATTACAGTGCGTAAAGCCATGACAGGTTCCTGGAAACAGAAGTCACTGTCTTTAAGAAGCTGGGAGTGTCGCTGCCACTTCAGATAAATCTCGGTGAGTTGCTGGTTAGTAACAGATC